CCCCCCCAACAACACCTTCAAACAACATCTGTTATTGACATTTCAAATACAAGCCTATTTCTAGTAAATGACCTTGACCTTTGACAAACCTTATGCAAAATGAACAGGGTTCTTCCTTTCCTCTAGGGCAAGTCTCCGAACTTTGATCTGTTAAGAAAATTCAACTTTCAGTACCGGTATATTGTGTGACCATGGTAAACCATACCTAAAACCAACAGAATTCTTTTTCCAAAAAAATACCTGTATGCCCTAACGCTTGGTTTAATGTATCCGTGGAAATTTTGCCCAGTCAAATTTTCGCCCTCCACTAGTAAAATCTGTTTTTTAGCAGTTTTCTTTTGCCCTCCACATGTTATTACTGTATATAGTATGTTGTATACTTCTTTTCACTGTCATGATAAATGTGCTCTCATTACAAGGGGTGATAAAGGTGAAAATTGAACTGCGGTAAAAAATTCCCGATATATAGGATTTCTTCTGTAAAATTATTTTCGTAGTAATAGCCATCTTAACCTTTCATATTTGATTCTCGCCTTGATCTCACCTGTTTGTTAAGTCAAGAGTTTTATGCGATTATTTGGTCCTTAGAATCCAGTCAAGAAAACTTATCAATGACCCTGACAAACTATGCCAAAAATCCATAAGTTTTTTTCTCTTTTCTAGGCCAACTGGTATACAAAGATTGTATTTTGTGTAACTGTTCATTCTGAAGTCATACAGAGATGAACAGAGTGCAGTCATCAGTGTAAAACCTGGACTGTACCCCCACCAGTCTATTTTTGGTAAGTGACCTACCTTGACCTAAGAAACTTCATAAATACCTATTGCACATCTACATATCACTGTGTATCACCATGTTAGGTTCAAAATACTTTTTGATTCCGAGATAAGGGCCATACCCCCAGTCTAATTTTAGGAACAGTGACCTTAACATTAGAAATTTAAAAAAAAACACTATTGCACATCTACATTTCATAATGTCCCAACTTATAAAATTTCAGAAAGATTAGTCTTTTTGATTCCGAGATTATCTCTGGAAACAAAAGTGTGGAAAGATGGACAGACATATGAACATGTTAATTATGAAAGGGCATTCCATCTCCGCGCTGGGCTATAAGAATCTAAGTTTAAATGTGGTAAAGTGTGACCTTTCACCTTGGCTAACCACCACTAAAAAGTACTTTTACAGTAAACCAATAACCATTGAATTTGTTGAGAGGTTCATGTGATCAAGTGTGACCTTTAACAATGACTGATGACAATCAAAATTACGTCTGTAGACCTCAGTGTTGCCATTTATATATCATGGTATATATGTAATAATAATAATAATAATTTGAGGTTCTTATATACCACTTTATCACAACCTAGTTAGTAGGTCGTTTCAAAGCAATTCACAAATAATTATCTGTGGTTAAAGGGCCTTTGCAATCAGCCAATATCTATCTCAACTCCCTGGGGAGCATACAGGCGGTGCAACCATTTCGGCATCACAGCTAGCATTCAACAATCCTAGCACTGTCCAACCACGTTCTGGTTTACAGCTGAGTAGATTGGAACAAGCGGAGTAAATTATCTTGTTCAAATATACAATACCGTGCCGTGCGTTGAACCCACAACCCTTCAGTCACGAGCCCGGTGTCCTTCCACTAGACTACCGTGCCTCTTAATATGTGCATGTATACATATATACCAGGTATGTGTTTGCTTTCAAGAGTCCTTGAAATATATTGTAAGCAACCTTTTATTTCAAATGTGTCAAGTGTGACCTTTAATCTTAATCAGTGACCTCTAAAATGTAATCAGAACTTCCTCTAACTTAGTGGGGTTTTCTGTCACTCTAATTCACTGTCCAATATACATGCAGAACTTTAGGACAACAGTTTGTTTAGACAACCTTGGAACAAAAGTTATTGATTGCATGAATAATTATTAATTGAGATGTCAAACAAAAAACGTGATTTTGCCAATTTGTTGACAAGATCGATCTCTCTAAGTCAATGGTTAAGCATACCAGTAAGGCTCAATTGTTGAATATGTAATCTCTTGTCATTAGTTAAGATGAAAGCTTATTTTTTGCATGATTTTTTCTCAAGAATTGGACAGGTTTCTTACTGCTGATATAGTACTAGTTGGCCTTTAATTTGGACTTCATATAAAATTTACATATTTACATAATGATGCAAAGATCCACATACAGTACTAGCATCTTGTAGACGTAACATTGCTGTTCACATATCATAGTGCTAGGGTTTCTGCTATCATCAGATTAATTTTTATACCTGCAGCTTTACAGTGTATATCTGGCTAAGGATTTGAAGGCCATAAAAATACCACTGTCACCATATTTGGAAAATTGAACAAGGCCTCGGTGACATGATACTGGAGCCTTAAGATTGGTCTTGATGATCGAAAAGTGGTTGTAAATGTTAGCCTTGATGATGAGATACTGGTGTGTAAAAGTTGACTTGAAAACCAGATACTGGTGTTTGTTAATGCTGATCTTGATCAAGAGATATTGGAATATATAAACGTTGACCTTGATGACGAAATACTTGTCTGTGTAAATGTTGACTGTGATGACAAGATACTGGTGAGATAAATGTCGTTTTTGAAAACAAGATACTGGTGTTGTTAATGTTGACCATAATGACGAGATACTGGTGTGTGTAAATGTTGACCTTGATAACAAGATACTTGTGTGTGTAAATGTTGACCTTGGTGACAAGATACTGATGTTTGTAAATGTTGACCATGATGACGAGATATTGGTGGGTGTAAATGTTGAACTTGATGACGAGATACTGGTGTGTGTAAATGTTGACCATGATGACGAGATACTGGTGGGTGTAAATGTTGAACTTGATGACGAGATACTGGTGTGTGTAAATGTTGACCATGATGACGAGATACTGGTGGGTGTAAATGTTGAACTTGATGACGAGATACTGGTGTGTGTAAATGT